GAAGCTCTTAAGTGAAATGAAAGAGCAAAGAATCATTGAAAATGTAAAGCAGATGAAGGAATGACCATAGAACTTGCCCGTGCCATTTGGCATGTAGATAATTCTGAACTAATTTCTACACATTGAATAGGCAAGGAAAAATTTGAGAATCAACACTAATTTGTTGTTTAAAAGAATGATTATGCTTTGCTATGAGATTTGTCAAGAAAATAAGTTTGTCTTAATCTAAACTTCATTGGAATTGCAGTTTTGAAGCCTCAGTTAAGACTGCCTTAAAAATCTCTCCCAGGAACTTGATAGAGCTTTTATATTTGTATTTAAATATATCTTGAGTGCACTACATATTAAGTATGTGTATTATTTGGTTTAAATATATTAGATATTTTGTTTCATGCTTAAAAAGTGTTTGAATTTTCTTCTAATTCTTTTTAAAATTGATTTAAGTTTTGTGGTTATGGTATTTGAATTAATTTCAGTTTATTTCATCATATTTACAGGACCTATAACTAAATCTCCTGGTAGTTTTATCTGTGAAGCAAGTTAGGTACCTTCCCTTAACCTGGCTGGCCAAACTTTTCTTGGAGGATGGTTTTTCCCACAGCGTTAGTGTTCTGTCATGCCATCCACCTGCCCTGACCCTGTTGTCCCTCCAAGTTACTAAGTAATGAGTTCATCTCTTTACAGTAATGCCTCAGTTCACAAGTCCTTCTGTTTGCAAACAGTTTGGTTTTTAAAAGTGTTGGACAAAATTTTGCTTTCTTCCACAAACTCCACATCAGGCAGCAAACACAATCACAGCCATTTTCTCCAAAGTCATGAAACAAATTAAGTTCATGAGCCATTGTGTTAGTAAACACATTTTTAAATTTTTATAAAATATAGAGTAAATAGCTGTGTATTATATACTTTTCTTTATGTATCACCTCAGTTTTGCATCATTTATGTCATAATACTGTATAAAAATTTTAAGAAACTTTATTTGTGCAAGTAATTGAGATACCATCAAAGGAAATTTAAACAGACATCTTTTCTATTTCTAAGTTATTTCTTAGAATCACAGATAATAATGTATTTTGTCTCCAAACCATTAAAAATGTTGTAAAATTTTACTGATTAAGTGGTGAAAACATTTTCTCTTTTTAAAATAGAAAACAGGTATTTCTCTTAAAATGAAAGTTGTCTTCTTACCTAGTTTGCATTTTGGTCAGGAGGTAGAATTGCAGCTAGGAAGTGAATTATTAATGCCCCAGACTGGGTGAGAGGACTTGGGTTTCTGTGTGCAGAGAATGAATGCTTGCCGCCTCTCAGCTCGCAGACTGTAAGTGGTGCTCCTCGTTCTTCCTGCTTAAAGTTAGACAAAGCCTTGGGGTACATTTTACTTAATTTTACATCAAAAATATAATGAGTAATGATGATAGAGTTGTAAAATTTATTTTAAAAGTTATAATTAAATCATTTTTATTTAAAAATTAGTTTTATTTAGAGTATATTATGGCACAAGTAGATAAAAACTGAAAATATATTTGTTTAGTAGACAGTTCCATTACATATAATTATTTATATATATATTTCTGATATTTTTCTTAAAAACTACTAGGGAATGTTCTTTTGTGAAAAAGTATAAAGTAAAATTTAAATAAATTGTTATACTTTGAAAGTCAAAATGTGTTTGTTCTTGCTTTGACTTTTTCTTTTTGGTATCAGGGATCAAATTCGCGACCTTGTGCTTGCCAGGCAGGCGTTTATGCCACTGAGCTAAATCCCCAGCCCCCTTGCTTTGATTTTTATAAGACTAAAATTTTATCTTGTTTTGAGTGGCCAACACATCTGTAGAAATTCAGATAACTTCTATCATTATTATTGAAAGTTGTGTTATGATAGAAAGTAGTATCTTTTAAAATTTATTTTTTGCAAATACATATGTTCATTTTTGTATCTAAAGATAAATACTAAAACTAATTTAATGTACATAACATAAATAATCACTTATGTTGGACAAATTGAACTTTCTGTTTTCTGATGAGATACTGCTGACTTGTGCCCTTGTTCACTGTGGCAGAAATTTTTCAGAACTCACATAATAGTGTCCTGTCGTTCACAGCTTATTGTTCTTAGAACATCTGTAGCTTGTTTGTTTGTTTGTTTATTTATGAGACAGGGCCTTGTGTTGTTGTTCAGGCTGACTGTGTAGCCCAGCCTGGCCTCAAACTTGTGTCAGTCCTCCTGCCTCAGCTTCCTGAGTGCTGGGATTACAGGTGTATGTCACCATATCCAGCTAGAATAGCTTTAGTTTTGAAAGTGTCATTTTAACTTTCAGGTGTGACTCCTAAGAATGTGTCATTGATGTTATTTTCTCAGAGTAGTTCTCAAGTAAATTTTAAAATATTTTGAAACATATCTTTGTGTGTGTGGAGTACCAGGGCATTCACTCTGATCTACATCTAGCTCCACTTCTTAAAAATTTTGTTTTTTTGAGCCACCAAGTTGCCCAGGCTGGACTAGATCTTGCAGTCCTTTTGCCTCAGCCTCCCAGGGTGCTGGGATTATAGTTGTGGATTATCATGGCTAGCTGTGAAACTTACTTTCAGTAGAAAAAAATGCTGTTAAAGTTTATATATTTATTTTGAGAAAATTGAAACCAGTTGCTATCTTTTAACCTATACAAAAGCTAAGTAATAAAATACAGTACTTGCTCATAACATGCAGCAGCTGTGTTACTCTGGATGCATACCTTTTTCATATTTTTATCAGCAGCTCCTGGATTTCCTTAAGTGGAATAGATTTTCCTGGTTTTTCAAGAAATGTGAGATTTTTGGGCTGCTTAGTATCTAATCCTGTGTAGCCATTTGAGGAATTAAATTTCTGGGTGTGTTTGGGCCTGAGCGAGGAGGAAAACCTCTGTACCGCTTGCTGTTTACAGGATAGTGTTGAATTACAGTTCTCCTTTGCATCTTTATACCAGCTTCCATCCTGCTTACAAAGCTTGTAGAAATGCTGCTGGAAAGTCTACTTCCATTTTTCCTCACCTTCAAAATTTGTGCATGCCGCTATTTGTTACATATTTTAGCATCTTTTGTTAAAATGCTGTTTTCTTCCAATCTATGCTCCAGCCTGAGAACAAGACTGCAGAGCTGATGTTGTGATGCAATTTCTAGTTCTGTAATGGAACCTGCCCCTCAGCCCTAGCCTGGCCTTCACCTCCACCACATGCCCTCATTGCTTCTCTCTTACCCCAATGGCACTGCCGTGCCATCTATTGCAATGCTGTTGAGCCAGCTTTGAGTAGACTGTAAGGTAATACTCTGTGCTACTCCTGGTGTGCCTCACTCTCACAAACAGTGAGAAGCCAGAAGACCAAGACATTGGTCACTTCATGTGTAACAGGTGAGCTTGTGTGAATTACCACTCTTCTGTTGATGGAATAATACTGGAGGAGATAGCACATTAGGTGGCGCTCAGCTGATGGAAAAGAGTAGATTGTAGTTTATGGGGGATATTTGAGATCTCAGGTTCATTCTCCACCCATACTTAAAAACACTGGGTGCACAAAATTTTGGTTCCTGTAAACTCCAAATGACTTGTGTAGTGAAAAATAGCGTGAAAGATGATAAGAAAGAGAGATTGTTGGGGATTGGAGAAATTGGAGAGCAATTTAATTTTTTTCACTCTATAAAATCTCCCTGAGTGTTTCGTCTATTTTTTTCTTTGTCTCTCTCTCTGTGTCTATCTCTCTCTCTTTTGAGACAAGGTCTCATCATGTAGTGCAGGCAAGCCTTGAACTCACTACATAGCTCAGGCTGGCCTTGAATTCAACAGTGATCCTTTTGCCTCAGCCTCCTGAGTACTGGGATTATAGGCATATGTAGCCATGTTTGGCCCTCATCCTCTTTTGAGAGTTTGGTAGCTCATCAGAACACATTTCATTCAGCTTTTGGGATGTAGGGCGATCCCCCAGCTCTAGGACTTCATGTGCAGTGTTCTTCTGCCTGGGATAGTGTTAACATCTCTAATTTTGCTAGAGCCATAACTTTCTGAGAGACTCATTTTCTGCTCCGACACTGGATCAAGTGTTCAGGTGGTTCTTGTCATCTCTGTTCTCCCCAAGTCACATGCATTATGGCACTGTTGCACAGTAGTTGCCTTCACCACATAGTTAAGGAAAACTGGAGCTGTGCATGTAGCAGTGCCTGGTGCATGGTCATGCTGCAGAAGTCTTTGTTGATGAGTGAATGAGTGCGTTACTGGAATGGAGAAGAGTTAGCCACTCCCAACAAGGGGGAGAGGATGAACAAGAACAAAAACACAGAGTATGGTGTTGAATATTGTGGTTCTGAGGCAGTGCAGTAGTCCCATTTGACTGGAGTATTTCCTGAAGAAAGGCTGGAGCTTTAAATGCCAGTAGTGAGCCTGGAGTTCGTTTGCTAAAAAAGGACTACCACAGCTTTAGAGATAAGCATGATAGTACATACACTCTTGGATCTGATAATTTTTATATGTGAGGTAGGTATATTTTTCTAATCTGTTAAAATTTTCATAATATTCTTTAATGTATTAGATATTTATTGACTGCCTATTTTGGAAAAAGTTTTTCTGAAATCATTTCAACATAATTATAGAGGAACTTAGGGAAATTGAATGGATATTATTGAATGTGTTGAACAACTGTCACTAAACTTTAGTGTTTTTCTTATCAATTACTTTATGATGATTTGAACATTAATTCAAATAAGGCAGTAATTTAACTTACATATGGAGGTTTCCTTCTTATTTGTAGCTTTAGGAATGATAAATGCTTACAGCTGTGGCTTTTTTTTCTCTAGTATCTCCAGAGGCAGTTGGATTTTTGTCAGCTGTTGGGGTGTTTATTATCTTGATGCTGCTCCTTTTTCTCTATATTAATAAGAAGTTCTGTTTTGAAAATGTTGGCGGGTTTCCAGATCTCAGATCAGGATATGATGCAAGGAAGAATTCACAAGATAAGATGTGTAAGTATCATATTGCTTCTTCCTTTTTTATCTGTACGACTCTCCGTATATACAATAAGAGATTGGATTTGACACATAATAAACTTATGTTTGAGCCATTAGTGTATAATAGTAGCAGATCTGTTAAATAATGTTTAGTTGTCCTCCATTACTCATGTATTTCTAAAGCATTATATACAGTATTTGTCTGTGATCACAGAATAACCTTATTTTTCATGTGTAAGTATGTCTTGGGACCACACATGAGCAGATGTGCTATAGGAAGAAGAAAGTATTGTGATACGTGTGTATTTGAAATGCTTCACCCTGTGTGCCAGGCCCATGCCCCCAGACAGTGTCTGATAGTACTCACCCTCTACTTTGACCTACTGTAATTCTCAGTGGGTGGATAATTTTATTACTAGTCACTTAGTAATAGGTGTGGCTGAAAGGTAGAGTAAATGTTTAAATCTTAAAAATTACTACAGTAAAAGATAAATTGCTATTATTTTTCTCAAGTACTCTGCCTTGCTTTGAACACACCTATGCTGTCATTCATGACACTTTCTGAAGCAGTCTGGAAGTCTTCTTTTATGTGTGTTTTTGGTTGCATTGATGTCCTTACTAGATTCAAAATGTTTACTTTTCATGGTGCCAGATCTGGTGAATAAGGTGGATGAATACCACACCATATGTTTATATGAGCTTGTCTGATGGCACTTGGTAGCAGCATTCACCGTGTGTGTGTGTATTTTTTTTTTTTTTTTTACAAAACATGATTTCCAGAACTGCTTCAGAATATGACAAGAAAAATAAGATCCATGTGATGGACCCATGAGGGAGTAAGTTGAGGGTGTTAATGGCATTGTCTTTTACTGTAAAAATTTCAAAAAATTTAAACACTTATTGTATATTTTGATCATCCCTTTTAAATTCTGATTATAAAGAGTAGTATTCTTCTGGGAAGATAATGTGTAGCCTGTTAACTGGTGATTTCGTACTGTATATATTTTTTTCTAGAAATACTGTATTATTTGTACCCTTTTACTGCATTGGTTTTTTTATGTCCTTTTCTTTTTTTTTCTTCTCTCTTTAAATTAAAAAAAAAGTGAGGGAAAGAAAGTGCTCTAAAGGATACAATTGCAAGTGTGTTTAGGTGTGTTAAATAGATGACCATATTAATGTTTTTGATTGGATCATTGAACACAACTGTTTGCAGTCTCACTGTTTGAATGTCCACTTTGTATGCTTTAATCCTGTGACTTGAACAACTATCTCTAAGATGATAATGTGTAATCTATTAAATGAGGATTTCTTACTGTTAAAAAAAAAAGAGTAGTGTTCCATTCCACCCCTTGGTACCACAGGCATTATATTATTTAGTATTACTAAATACTAGGAAAGAGGAAGGCTGTGATACTGTTCTTTCTTACACAGAGAAAAATTCTTTGGAGGTTTTTGTTTTTAATTAGTGTAAGAGTTTTTAATTTGCTGTTTCCAGAGTTTACCTTGTATAAATGATATCAACAATAATTTGAAAGTTAGAGAAGCAAGGTATTGATTTAGAAGAGTTTTAAGGAATAATAGCAGAGAAACCTTGTGGTTTTTTTGGTCTATGTACATGTGTTGGAGAAATGCTTTTTTTTCTTATTTTTGGAAATTTGAAAGGTGACAGTCCCATTATGTATAAAAACTTATTGTTAAGTTACATTTTGTGATGTTTGTATTAGGAAATGGTAGTAGAGTTTGACTTATTTCTCATATTGAACTCCAGTCTTGCGTTTGGAGAATCTGTGTGGAATGAAGTAGTTAAATATAGCTCTTTCAGTAGCCTTGAATAATTTTCTGGGGTCAGCTTTCCTGGTTTTTCTTTGATCTGATTATTTCTTTACATTCCTAAAAATCACCAAAGGACCCTGAAGAGCTTTTGTTTAGGTGAGCTATATCTATTAATGTGTACCACATTGTTCTAACAGAAAAATTTAAGATTTTTTTTGTAAATTTGTTTTTTAAAAACTAACAAGACTATTATATATTAATATAAACATCTTAAAATTTAAAAACTATGTTTTTAAAAACAGAAAAAGTTGGAGAGAAGAATGACATTATTTATAGTTTTTCCACATCTCTCTAGTGACAGGCATAATGAGATTCTGGTGTGCCCTTCCACACCCAGTCTGTCATATTCCTCAAGAAAGTCCTTTTGTGCTCCTGTGAGCAATGGCAGGAGACAAGTGGCCTATCCCTGCTGTTACTGTGACGTGAGGTTGACCCTGAGGAGCCCTTGAAGAGGTCTTAGGGAGCTTCTTATTATTATCTGAGTCTTGGTTTTTCTTTCATTTATTATAGAGGAACAATATTTACCTTGTAGCTGTTATAAAATGAGAAGAGGGAAAAATGTGTCAATTTAGTGCTCTGTGTATGCCACTCATCAGAAGTGCACCTGCTTTCTACTTTGTTTAACTGTGCAAAATGGTTTAGATACTTTGCCTTAGATGTTTTTCTTAATTTGTAATGATGTTGGTCATTTAATAGGATAGTTCCTTTGTATCAGATATTAATAAGTATATTAAAAGTACATAAATAAAAATCGTTTTTATACTTCTTCTTTCAGGTATAGAATAAAAAAACCAGTAGTGTTTGAGGGGAAAATGCTGTCTTGCTGCTGTTATAACTGTGCAATGGGAAAAAAAATCATTACACTTAAGTCAAGTGATTTGATTTTTTAAGCTTTTTTTTTCTGGAGCAGTCTTTACATCAATGTATTTCTTTCAGTACATCATGTATTTATAGAAAGATTAAAAGCCACATTGTGAAATACTAATATTGAGCTATTTGAATAGCAACATTTAAATAAATATTGTATCTGAGTTCCAAAGTATTTGATACTTTGAGAAGAGAGAATTCAATTGTTGCATCTTTTAGGAACAGGGAATAGAAAATGGCATTTTTCAAAAATTTTCAGCAGAATCTGCCTTCAGTATCCTTCCTGGTGGACACAATCAGTAGTGCCGTAGAAGACTTGACCACTGCCGTTGGGGAGGTCAGCTATGTCTTAACTGACTCAGTTGCTGAGCAGGTGACAAGTCTGATAAATGGCCTTCGCCCAGAAGAGGAAAGCATGGCAGCAGGGGCAGCTGCAGACACTTCTAAGTCAGAAGATGCCTTGTTACAAGATGTTTCCAAAAACACTGCTTATCAGAGCACACAGTCCAGTGCAGAACACAGAGCAAAGTCAATGCATTGTTACAAGACTTCAGCTTCACCAGAGCAGGGACAAGGAACACGTGAAGGAGGATGGCTTACACATACTATTGATGGGCAGCAAACTCTATCAGGATGCCAAGAAATCAGTGATGCTGGTGATTCTTTGAAAAGCCACATGAATACTGGTGGAATATTATCACTAAACAAGCAGAATCCAAGGGCTGAAGCAATTTGTCATGACCTTGAAAGTACTGACAGATATAAAACAGTTGGTCTAGAAATCTCCAGTAATGGTAAGGATGATATAAAGGAAGTGAGACACCAAGGAATGACAGGAAATCGGAATACCACCCGTGGAATAGACATACTTTATGAGCAAAAGGATAATCACAAAATAGAATCTCAACATGTGCTTGTGGGAGGAGACCAGGAGAAAATGGAGCATTTCAGTAAAAATAAAAATCTTGATGTAGGGCATTCTGGTCATTTAAAGAAATCTGAAAAACAAATCAAAAGTAAAGGGAGTAAGTGTTTGGGAAATGAATGTTCTTCAAAAGATGTTTTGACAAGCAAGAGAAATGGGCTACAAAAATCCATTATGAAAGAAGACGTATCCCTGGCACTATCAGCTGATTCTAAAGAGAAGTTTCCTGGAAAAATAAGAGGATGGATAAGTCCACCAACAGTCTACAAAGTAAGACGAGACATACAAACAAACCAGAATGAAGCCAGTTCCTCCAGGAAAGGGACAGCAAAGAGTAAAGTTGAAAAATATTCTAAAATAATACCAGAAGAAGGTGAGGTCTCGTAATGTTGGTTCGAGTGGTTAAGTTTTCATTTTTTTTTTTTTAACTTAGGAAAACAAAGTCCAGATTTCTCAGCTTTCCTATCCTTATCTGTATGTCTAATTTAAGACTCTTGAATCAACTTATTGAGAGATAATTTAAAAGTCGTTCATTTTTTCCCAGATAGTCTCAGAATCATTTTTTAGGTACCACTCAGTTTAGTCCCCTCTCTTCATTGGTTAGCCAGTTTTTCAGCATCCATGATTTTTATTGATAAGCATTTATTTTACAAGCAGAAACTCTCTGGTTTTCTTCAGTAGTGTGTATACTTTAATTGTAGTTTATTTTGTATATTATATGCTTACATTTTAAATTTGTGCATCTTTATAACTATCTTCTTTTTTTTTTTTTTTTTTTTGTCTTTTTCCTTTTTACTTTTTATCGGTACCAGGGATCGAACTCAAGACTGCCTGCTTGCAAGGCAGGCGCTTATGCTGCTGAACTAAATCCCCAGCCCCTATAACTATCTTCTAAGTCTTTTATACAACATTGTTGTTTTATACAACATTGCTTTTCATATCTGTCATAATATAAATAATTCCATAGAAAATGTTCTGTATTTGAGAGAGCAGTAAAACCATGAATTAAAACTTTTATATGACTTGTAGTTCATAATGAGTAGACATAAATAGCACATTATTATTCATTAGTTTTTAAAATAAAGAACATTCTGAATAAGCATTTATAGTTTTCAGCCACAATATTTATGACACTTTTCAAAACATTATTGTAGTTCATACTTGTAGGAATTACTTTGGATAGTCTGTAGTCATTTCCGTTTATGCATGATCTGATTAGAAGACCAAAAGGTACATTGGCTTTTATTTATAAAGTAAACCTCTGGAATTTTTCTGTAACTTCAGACTCTGAGATAAAACCATGCAACTGTAGATATGAGATAAACTTTTTTCAGTTGTGCTATATGACTCATATAGTAGCTTTGCTATGTATTGGAGATATAAATAGTTTTTAAGTGGCATAGGAGAGGCTGGTAGGTCGGATGAGCTAATGGATAAGGAATGGCAATTCTGGAAAACATACACATTTTAGAATCTAATCTGGTTTTTGAATGTCAAGTACAGTGGCTTTTAGTAGCCCAGGTTTAGTTCTGGTAGTCTTATTACTTGAAATGGTAGAAGTAAACAATTAAAAGTAGAGTAAAAATTGTGTATGTATTATTTTATTAAGAAAATAACAGGATGGACATATCAGTAATTCATTAAGAAGCACACTGATGTTGAAAGAAACTATCTCTCAAGTGCTTCAAAATGTAGTCAGTGTTGCACTGAAAGGTTCTTTATTCCCAACATCATTTTGAGAAAATTTTTTTAAGACACCGTCATGCTCTGTGATTCATGCTGGCCTTAAACTCCTTGTGTAGCCCAGGCTGGCCTCAGGCTCATGGCAGTACTCCTGCCTCAGCCTTCTGAGTGCTGAGATTATAGTGTGTGCCACCATACTTGGCCTAGTTCTACTTTTTATATATTTTAAAAATTTTTGGAAATTTGTTTATATTTAAGTAAAATTTTCTACTGATCTCACCTTTTGCAGGTAATAAGCGTTAGAAGTTCCGCATACATCCTTCCAGGCGTTTTTGTTTGTGCATAAAAACACTGTATCCCTGTGTGTATATAATGCATGTAGGAATATGTATAGTATATACATATTTAAAACAGGAATACAGTTACACCTTCTGTTTTATAATCTTTCTCTTTTCCATCATATCATAACTGTTCTTTCTGTGCTTGCTAGTTGACCTTCCCATTTGTAAGGACTTTGTATCATTGCATAGATTAGAATTTACCTGGGGCCTAATGATGTACATATTTGTTATTTATTATTTTACTTTTCTTTTTTCTAATATATATTGGAGCAAATTGTCTCAAACATATTTCTTTGTTCAGCTGTCAGTTACTACTTCCTGGGGCTGAAAGGGAGCCAAGGTTTTACATTTCAAAGTTATGTATGTTTTGAGATCTTATTCTCTATAAGAGTAGTACAAATTATAATTTCACTAGTGTTTATATCAGCCCATTTTTCTGTTTGGCAGTTTTGAAAATATTAGCCGTAGTGAAAAAAAAAATGTATCTTGTAACGTAAATTATTTGAATCAGGTACTGGTAGTACATACAACTTTAAAAATTTGTGTAGAATGGCAAGCATTGTAGCTTCCTTTGTATGTAACAAGATTGAAAAACATCTTGTGATTTAGATTATTAATAAAATTAGAATATGTAGATTGATTAAAATCAAAGCACAACAATCTAAAGCTTGCACTTCTTGCATGCGGTTATATTTCTCTAGAACTGAAAATTCAGCTTACATCTATGTACATATATTTATATGTAGAAATACATGCTATACTATGCTGTGAAGGCAATTTAAGGGATTTTCAAGGATTTCAGTAATTTCAAGGATTATTTCATCTCTAATTGGCTCCCGTCATATGCTGACATCTATAAATATGTATAGTTCGTGTATGCTTGCTTGTGTATATAATTCTTAATAAGGTTATCATACTTCAGTGTTGTAAAATTAACATTTCCTTTCCCATCATTCCAAATAGACAATTCCTACCTGGACAGAGATGAGCATGGTTCGTCCTCTGAGAGTGAAGATGAGGCTTTGGGTAAATACCATGAAGCTTTATCCAGAACACACAGTTCTAGACTGCCATTGGCAGATGCTAGACAAAAGAACTATGCTTGGGAAACAAGACAAAAATACAGTCCTTTGTCTGCAGAATATGATGGATACAGTAGTGAAGCGTCGATAGATGAAGGTATGACAGTTTATTTTACTTTTTTAAAATGATGCCTGGTCAGATTGTGTCTGAAATTGCAGGCATGTGTAGATGTACACTAAAGGAGTGCATGTGCAGGACAGTAACTTTCTTAGAAAATTGTCGGGCTCAAGTGAAAAATCAAAAACAGTACCAAAATACCCAAAAGCAAAACCCTGCAAGATCACTGTAGCGTGCACTCTGCAGGGGACATGCCTGCTGTGGAAGCACGGCGGCTCAGGGAGGGGGGCAGGCGGCGGGTGGGTAGCCTGCATAGTTCTCACAGGACGTGGGCTGGGGTCTGAGCATTAGTGATGCTGTGGGTTTGGAGAGGGAGAGCACGCTTTGCGCCTCATGCACCACCCAGGCAGCTGGGTGCTTCCCACGCCACACCACGAAGGAAACGAAATGGTAATCCCTTCTGTATGGGAGGAGAAACTGGCCAAGATGGGTGTACTGACAGCTGGTACAGTAGTACAGTATAGAGTAAAAACTATTTAAGGAAAAACAATAATTTCAGGGATTATTATTTATTTTTAAGTGTTTTCAACTTTTGCATTGACACAGACTTTGGGACGCAAACCCTGTAAATAAGTCCACTGATAGATATGCTTACATCTTTCTGTAATATAAAGTTTAGCCATTAGAGAAAGCATTTTTATTTCAACATTTTAACACTGTTTACATGCTTAATAGGATATGATCTTCATAATGATTTTGTCCTTATACCCAGAAATAAAAGAACATTTGTAATATTTGTGAGCATAAATTATTCTTGATTTTGTAGCAGTATATGTTTAAACTCTTACTAAGCACACAGTTGTCAAATGGGCCATATCTGTTTTTGTGTGTGACTTCATGCTGGTTTAAGATTGGTATACCTCACTTTTATTTCTGTTAGTACACAGTATAATAATAAATTAATCATATACTTAATGATTTCTATCTAGAAGAATCATTAGACGATGCAAAAGGAGAAATTCAAACTACTTGACTTGGACCTCATGCTCAGAAATGCATTTTTAATATAAGGAAAATAAAATATGTGCTTTCAAAGAAAAGTAAGTAGTGCAAAGCAGTAGAGCTGGCTCTCAATTTTCCTGCACCTTCAGCCACATGAATAATAAAGCAGAAAGCGCATAGATGTTGGAATTTTATCCTTGTTGGCATTCTGGCAGTGGATGTAAGGCAGTATTTACCATAGTGTACTTACTGTAACGTAGTACCAGAATTAACCACGAAACCTTCAACAGCAACAGCATGATTTGTTGTGCTTGGCTGTTCCATTGTATATTAAATGTGGATAGTGGCCGCCTGTTCTGGTTAGTATGAAAATCAAATGACATGTGGTACCATTTTTAACAGGGGTCTGACTCTTTTTTTTTTTTTTTTTTTGTCTTTTTCGTTTTTATCGGTACCAGGGATCGAAGGGGGTCTGACTCTTAATAGATAAGTGACTGTCAAACCATTGAGGAAAGAGGGTGGTGAAAACACACAGGGATGGAGTCAGGTGGCCAGAACAAGCTTGGAGTTGGGCAGCTGTGATTCTAGGCACTTTCCTTCTGCAGATGCAGCGCTCATTCCTTCTTCCCCTCTCACTCTTTTCTCTGCTGCCTGCAGTGCTTTCCTCTGCAGTCCTCCTTCTAGCATGGGCTCCACAGCCTACAGGAAGAATGGTGGGTGAGCACTGTAACCTGTGTGACTTTTTTGCCCTTATCTTTACCTTTGGGACTGGTGCAGCTGTCTGAGAGTCACTTCATTTCATTTTACCCAGGCGTTTAGGACCTTCCTGGACTTCTCCAGACATTTCTGTCCTAAATTGTTTGGTAAAACACCTGGAATAGATTGCAAGCACAGGAGGCAAAAAATATCAGTTAGATAGTTAGGAGGTGTTCAATAATAATGAATTTAGAGCCGAAGTATAGGTAGCCATATGGATTTGCTCTCAGTGAATGACTGAGTGCAGTGAGTAAAGAGTCAAGGTGCTCTGGTAGAAGAGCATTACAGAAGCCACCTTGTGAAACAGTATAATCTAGCTTTGCCTGTGCAGCGTTTGAAGTATCTGGATAATCCCGATGGAGATTAGGTGCTCTGATTGGGATTTAGGATGCAGAGGGGACCAGAAATAAGTTGAGGGCTTTGTAACCCAGTGATTCCCCTTCCTGGTATGTGTTTGGACAGGAGGGGAATCTACTTCTGGAACACATTTGCAGGCCCCTGGTAGGGGGTGGTGCACACCCATGTAGCTGCTTCTGTGGACATCCCTGAGGACTCCTGTACAGTGCTCTGGGGAGGACTTGGTACATTTGCTAGGGGACAGGGAAGGCGTGAGCAGAGTGGGAGGCTTTCCTTAGTCTGCTGACTCTTTCTCTGCCTGTAACCATCACGTGGGCTTAAAAGGTTAGATTTTACTAATGTAGGCTGAGGTAATATCTAAAGAGAATCATAAGGTAGAGGAAAAACATTTTAAAATGTACATAGCTTTGTATCATTAGTGCTCTTGAGGAAGCTATAGTCTTACTTTCAAAATCCTAACAGTTTGTAGTAGAAAAACTCTGGGCAGGCATTATTAGAAACAAGCTCTCTGGAGCCTCTGGGTCAGGGAGGGCTGAACAGGGAGGAGGAGAGACAGTCCAGGCGGGAAGAGCTGGCGTTCACAGTACTGACTCTTAGTTTCTGTATATGCATTCATGTTTAATCTTTAATCTTTGTTGTGGAAGGTATGATTATCCTCATTTTATAGATGTGAAAAGAAAATGCTAGCAATGATGCAGGAGGAGCACTCACATTGTTGGTGGAAGTATAAACTAGTACAACCACTGTGGAACTCAGTTTGGAGATTCCCCCCCAAAAATTAAAAGTAGAAATTCCATTTGACCCAGCTATTTTCCTTTTAAGTATCTTCCCAAAAGTGCTAAAGACATCATAGCACAGTCATACCTGCATGCCCATATTTATAATGTCATGATTCATAACAGCTAAATCTTGGAAACAGCACATATGTCCATCAGCAGATGAATGGTTAAAGAAAATTTGATATTTATACACTCTTGTGCCATGAAGTACTGTTGTGCCATAAGGAAGGATAAAATTGAGTCATTTATAGAAAAATGGATGCACCTTGAGACAATGTTAAGTGAAATAAATCAGACACACAAACTTAAATATTGCATGGTTTATCCTGTATGAGAACCCAAAGTATAATCAAACTAAAGAGCAAAATAAAAGATAATAGTAAGCAGGGAGATAGCTCTTTTGTAGATGGTAAGGGAAGCAAGAGACAGGGATGAGGATGAGAGAAGGGCACATAAAAAGAATTGAGATGTGTTATGTACATGTACCAAGTCCCCATTGTAAGTGTAATCATGTACTACGAATGGGTACTGATAAAAACAAAAATTTTACAAAGTGAAAAGCGATTTTAGGTAAGTAATTTTAACCTAAAGTCACACAGCTGCTTTATTAAAAACTACTTGTCAGTTCCACCACAAAAGTTATGTTGTTTGGGTTCTGCTTCTTTATTGACCTCTCTGAGTGTGTTTCATACAAGATGATACTTTCAACTAGATTTTGTCTTATAAGCTTGAAATAACAGATATTCTAGGAAAAAGCAAAAAATGTGATGGCATATTTACGGGTCATATTTTCTCCTCTAAATGGCCATATTAATCTACACAAAGGGATAGGTTTAAAGATATTTATTAGAAAAATAAATATTAAACTAACTTATCAAATTCCCTTTGCTAACAATTATTTTACTCTTTTCCTTAAAAGCATTTTCTGATTATCCTATCTCATTTTAAAATAGAATGAGATAGAATAAATTATTCTATCTCATTTTAAAATAGAATCAAATATGATTTGTGGCTATCTCAATTAAGTTGATTGAGGTAGACTAACCTTTGAAATTTCATTCACACTAATACTTTCCATTTTTATATTTGGTAGGATAAACCTGTTTAAGATGATTTTATATAAAGATCAAATTTAGTGTGAAATTATTAGATCATCTTTGTATTATTTATGGCTTTTAGTTCTTAGTTTACCATACAGATTACTAAGCTATATTTATGTATTATAGAAAGCTGTGTTATTAAGATTAGGATGTTTTGAGGGCAAGTTAATTTGAAACAATATTAAAAATAATTTCCAGCATCATTTATATAGGCCACACACCCACACACATGTCATTCTTTCTCCCTTATGGCTATATCAGAAGTTTTAGGCAATTAATCTTGACATTATCTTAAAATTAAGACCAGTGAAACGTGGATGATTTTTTTAAAAAAACAAATTTCTTTATTCCTTAAAAGCAGGAACTAAAACATGTTTTTAAATTATTTTAAAATTTTTACCTTAAAAAGTACTTAATGTAATATAAATTATATATACTTAAGTGAAATAAATTATATATTCTTTGAATGCATTTTAACTGATTTGTACAGATTGTTTTATTAATTTTTATAATTTCTATCTGCACTTCCCAGACTTTATTTATATAAAATATATTTAGTAACTTAGAGCAGTATAAGTATACTACATAATTAATTGAACTTTTTGATAAACCTTTCTTATTTATGAACATTTCTGAAGAAGTTTTTATTGGGCAGATGCTTTAAAATATGATCAATTTGAAAGGAAATTGATCTTGAGAATTTTACTAAACTGTTGGTGTTTGGAGATCTTCTTGATCTCCAAACTCCAGTACTGTATAATTTTTCATGTAAGTGGCATAACCCTCCATTTGTTCTTTTCTTTCTGGCTTATTTTACTCACCATGATATCTTCAAGGTTTATTCATACTGTTGCTTATATCAAAATTTCATTCCTTCTTTTTCCTCCAATTAAAAAATACATTTATTACCTTTGTCATGCTTATAATCCCAGCATTGTGGGAGCCTGAGGCAGGAGAATCACAGATTCAAGTCCAGCCTGGGTAATTTAGTGAGATCTTGTGGCACAATCAAAGAAGGGGGAGGTAGACATCTAGATCAGTTTGA